ACAACCACGGGTTTGTTCGCCTTCCACCCAAATTCCCTTGGGCCGGGTCCCCCAGGTTGCGGTTTGTTATTGGTTCCACCGGTTTCAAACCCCCCCCCCCCCCCCCCCCCCCCCGTAGCATGTTTGTGACATATACCAATTTGGTACGCGAGACTCTTCTTTCTTTCTTTTTGTACCGCGAGACACACGACTGTATGGAATGCACCAGTTAGATATATTCGATGGCAACAAGAAGTTCAATGAAGGATTATCCTGTCATAGGTGTCCTGACTCCTCGGAGCCTCCTCTTGGAATCGGGCGCTGACATGGCATTTCCATGATAAGCATAACCATGCGAGGAAGGGATTCTAACAAAGGGGGTATGTGTATATGGAATGTTTAGGTATAAGAGGGGGGGGGATGATTTTTGAAAAGAAATTGAACTACCTATCTCAAACGGTCTGCGTTCTTGCCATTTGATAATATTCCACTCTCGAACTGGCTCATACGGTCGTACGTACTTACCCAAACAACTAGGTAAAGTACTTAGCTATTACTACTACCATACCTATTAACAACGTTCTTGCACATGAAATCACAAATGAATAAATATTCTCTTATGTCTATGATACCAATACTAAGAGAACCTCGTCTGTAGGGCGTAGCAAGGGAAATGCTATACCTGTCCTATCTCCTGCTCCCAAGTACCTCGTCTCGTTTTTGATATAAACAGTCGCCGTCCCATTGAAGGAAACTACAAGACAACAAGACCCTTTATTTCTCTTACCTTTTACGTCAAAATATAGCAGAATAATGACGAGTCTTGAAAAGTTGCCAGTAAGATAAGCGCGAGTCATGGAGCCCCCCCAAGAACTTCAACTTGTGGGTTTAAACTACTCTAGATCCACGTTAACCATCAAATGACACATTCACTGGCCTCGTGGCCCAATGGCAAGGCGTTTGACTACGAGAAAAAGATTCCGGATTATCGGTTCTTTGACGAAATCAAGAGATTCTGGGTTCGACCCCCAGCGAGGTCATGAGATTCCATTTTTGTTTAGAGAGCGGAATCTGAATCGTTTCTGCCTTCTTTTTTGACTAGAGGGTGCTTACAATGGTATCAAGTGATCAATACCTAATTCCTATACCGCCCCTCTATACAAGTCGACTGTAGGTTATTGGTAATAGTTATTGCATCTCAAGGAACAACCAGTTTTGACGAGTGCGCAAAGTATTATAGCTCCAAAACTGCTGGCGACAGTCTCGATCGTTTTCCGTGGGCAAGATGGGGAAATTGTACGTAGGAAGAAGAATGGCGACCATGACGAAAAGAAGTCAAACACTCATATACGTTGGTGAGATACGTGTAGTCACGGTATATATATATGTACCTAGGGCTGTGCTGGGTTTGCTGCAGGATCTGTGCTGCGTCTGCTGTAGTAATGACCAGATTGCAGATATCACTTAGGAAACATGGCAGATCATGGAAGATTCGTGGCTTCAAGCGCACCAAAGCCGTATTCGAGGTCGACATAAATGCGAGCGCGATATTCAATGTTCTTTTCTTGCGACTGGGCATATCCGGTCGCTTCACTCACGAAATCCATTACTGACGAACACATCATGAGGCACCAACCGTACGAATAAGTACGGCGGAAGAATGGGCGAATATTAAAATAAATCCGGGTTTATCAGATAGTGACGAAGTAAAGGAACCGCGAGCGCAGATATCATAAGTGTACTCGAAATTCCGTATGATAGCATTCCAGCGGCCGCCGGGTCTGCGGTCACGATAAGACTATAGAAGTACAAGTGAAAAGTGAAACAAGCTAAAAAAAAAAAAATCGCGAAACGTGGATTACGAGTAGGTTCGTCCGTCGGTTTTTATCCGGACATACGGCAATGATAGTCGTGGGATGGATCCCGGCGTACCTGTGTAAATCACGGCGGCTTCCGTCCCGCCTTGGCACGGCCTAACGGGCTCTCCAATCAAAAATTACGCCGGTCAGTCTCTCTTTATTGATGATTGAGAGGCAATTGAAAAGAGGTCTAATTCTCCTACCTCTTAAAAAAAAAAAAGGAAACAAAAAGTAAGAAGCTTCGAACATATCAGGAAATCAGTCCCCAATATGCGTTACTCAATGGTCATCCCCGCCGTTCTGGCTACAGCAGCCACGACTTCGGCGCATACTATTTTCTGTCAACTCGAAACTGACGATAAGACATATGGTAAGACCTACTTACACCTACCTACCAACCTAACCGAAAGTTTAAAAGGAGCATTAAAAGTTTGACTTATGATAAACTAGATGTCTCCTATGCTATCCGTACACCAAGTTACGACGGAGTAAGTCTTTAATAAGAACGAATTAACAGAATATGTATGTATGAGACTAACTAGGTACCTACCTATTCTTGCAGCCTCAACAAGACGTGACATCTGATAATCTGGCTTGCAATGGACCGCCAAACCCAACAACTCCTTCGAGTGATATCATCGAGGTCAAGGCAGGCAGCACTGTGGGCGCTATTTGGAGACACACGCTCGAGTGTAAGTGACTTCCTGCCTACTTGCTCCAAGTATTTCGATTGAGTGTCACTATTAACGCAGAGACATAACTACAGCCGGACCGGACGACGTAATGGATCCTGGGCACAAGGTACATACAAACATTTTATCACTTTAGATTAACCTCGAACTAACGAATCCAACCAGGGACCTGCCATGGCCTATCTGAAAAAAGTATCCGACGCCACCTCGGACGACGGCGTCGGCGATGGATGGTAAAACCATATCCTTCCTCTTGCCCATTTGACTGTTCGAACCACCCCGGCTAGGTAATTCTTTCTGACTGTATCATAACAGGTTCAAGATCCAAGAAGAAGGTTTCGGCAACGACGTCTGGGGCACGGACACGGTTATCGACAACGCCGGAAGTCAAGTGATTAAAATCCCCGAGTGTATCGAAGACGGGCAATATCTCTTACGTGCGGAGATGATCGCACTACACGCTGCGGGGGGTGCAGGAGGTGCTCAGCTCTATGTAAGTACCTACTTAAGTGCCCAGAACTCTGGACTGAATATTAGGTATTATGCTGATGATTGATTGTACGGTAGATGGAATGTGCACAGATCAATATCACGGGCGGAAAGGGGTCGAAGACGCCTACGACGGCGAGTATCCCGGGTATCTATAGTGTAAGTTTCCTTTGGTTTGGTTTTCGTCTGTTTAGAAAAGGAAGGAGCTGACATGACATGACATGACATGACATGAACAGGCGGATGATCCGGGGCTATTGATCGATATCTACAATAACCCCCCTAGCTCTAGCAACCCATACGTGATCCCGGGTACTTACGTCCTACCCTCCCCCATTCATTCTCTAGTGGTCTCGAGCTGACAGTTGGTATTAGGTCCCGAGGTGTTCACGTGTTAGTTTGGTGTGTCGGGGAAGGTTAGATCTATTGTACATGTAGGCATTTGGAACTTGATGAATAGGGGCTAACCTAGGTCAGAAAGTCATTTTAGGACAAATACATATGTTCATAAAAAGCACAAGAGGACCGGAATGTCTAGGTTAGCCTGGATGTAGCCAAATATACCGTATACTTATTTGAAACATATTAGTCGCTGACTTGAGTGATAGCAATCTAACTCGCGTCACTGCTTGAAAGAGTTAGGGGATATAAGAAAAGGGGAAGGAGGTTAATCACCGCGCGACGTGGTGTAGATAAGACAGAGAACGCAGTCCTGGGCTTATAAAAGATGCGCTATGTCTTTGTTGCTATGAGGCTTTACTACAGTTGGTATTGTGATATAATCTGTGATGCCGAGAGTCGAGAGTCGAGAGTTGAAACTTTAGACAGCGGCACAACGCATATAAGATCGAAAATACCTCAAAGCAGAGTAATCGCTCGACGTCGTGTTGATGAATTGAAGTAATACACCGGTATCCCAAGCAACTCTTGATAGCTCAGTTGGTAGAGCGATGGACTGTAATTGAAACCTTAGAGATCCACAGGTCGCGTGTTCGACTCACGCTCGGGAGACGTTGTTTATTTTTTCCACCTTTTTTTTTGCCAGTCATAATAACCTATTCACATCTTGGCCAAGTTTTATGTTTTCTGGTTTTAGGAGAGAGGTTTTTATTTTATTTGTTTTGCTACTATCAAGTTGTTTTTTTTTTTCGGTAGAGATGGCACACCGAGGATATCTGCGAATTTCGGGGGAGTGCTACTTATATATTAAACTACCGGGTATAAATCCTACACAATAAATCGCCCATACTCATGATTTGCTAGCCTTCCACGCCGCAACAATGGTAGGAAGATTTTGAATGATATCTCTCCTCTTCGGATCCCACCCCAGAATAGCCCGAGCGCGCGAAGAATCCGTATTAGAACAAAGACTGAGCGCTTCGAGAAAAGCATTCCCCCGTGTGCCTTCATACCGAATCTCTCTCTTGACCCCCAATACGGCAGCGACCCCTCTGAGTAAATCATTGACCGGGACCGTCTCGGTCGTTAATTCGAAAACAGGCCAAGAACCTAGTTGACCGTTAATCTTCTCCACGACAGAGACATATGCCGCTCCCAGATCATCCAAGTGCACGACTCCATTGCGAGTATTCTCGTCAGCCATGATGCTGACGGGTTTGTCGACTGCTTCATTAGCGGCAGCCTCGAGCAACGGATCCCACCACGTCGAGAAAACCCACGAGCCCCGTCCGTAAACGGATCCAGGTCTTAGGATAGCGACGTCGAGGACGTCCCGCGCGGCAAGCACGGCCTGCTCATGAGCCGGACGCCAAGATACGACCCTACCGGGTTTATCAGGGGATAGCGCAGTGCCCGGAACGGTCAGATCGCTAACGCGACGGCTAGGCGAGCCATGGATCCAGGAACCGGATGTATAGATGAATCCGAGTCTGGGTCCGACTGCGCCGTCGAGGCCGGAGGCGCGTTCCCGTGCTGCGTTTACGATGCTGGCTAGGATCTTGCCGGATTGCTCGTATGCTTGTGTCGTGTCGATGACTACGTCAATGTGGTGGTTGGCGATGGTGTCGGTTAAGAAGTTGCTGTCGGTTGCGTCGCCTTGGATTGCTGTGATTTCGTTTGTGGTGAGAAGATTGGTTTTGTCCGAGGTGCGCGTTGTTGCGAAGACGGTGTGGTTGCCTGAGCGGAGGAGGGCTTGGCTGACGCCTAGGCCGATGTATCCCGCTCCCCCGAGGATGAGAACTCGTGGCATGTTGGTGACTTTGGGGAAGCTTTATGGAACAGGTAAAGTGGCGGTAGGATATCAGAGTATTTGGTATGGATTTATTTGTGTTTATAGTGTTTGGTTATACTTTTCGAAAGATGCGAATATCTCTATCTCGTGACTTGGAGTCTATGTACCCCTCCAGATATATACTTCCTACGCCAACCATTTATGCTCGTACCGGCGTTTATTGCCCGAGTTTACATACCAATATTTGAAATATCCCACATCGCCGTCAACTTGTATTTTTTTACTAAGCAGTCAATTGATTGATTACCTTATGTATTTCTCTAAAGCAATCTTAAAGTTTCCAATCCGCATCTCCATCGGAATTATGTTGTTTAGGGTAGATTGGTTGGTGCGGAGTCTCGGATTTACGTGCTCAGCTTTCGTATCCCGTCTACCATTCTACAATTTAATTCCGAGTCTAACTCAACGACGTCCTGTAGCCTAATTCCTTTGGCAATATCATCGTGTTATTGTGCATTCTTAGTTTCCTCATTATCAAGGTATCTCGTTATATGATTATTCAGCTCATGATTGATTGATAAGTATTGTATTGTCTCGGCCCTCGGGTTGATCTCGTAAACCGCGCAAAACACATGGCAAACAACCCATCCTTTTTGGCAATGCGCGTCCAGGATCTTGCACCTTTGTCCCGGGTGACTCACGACATGGACTGCCCGAAGACTAAGCCTCTCGAAGAATATTGATTGGAAGGGCGCGGACGGGATGAGATTTTGACAAACTCGCGCGCCGGCCTAGCATCTCATGTTCCA